CTCCCAGCGTGAAACCTAACTGCTTGAATGAAGACGCTTGATTATTTCGCATGATTGACTAGTCATCATATTTAAAATTGGCGCAGTTTTGCATGCGCGTGTGGCCTCTGAGCATGCGCGTGCGGCCACTGAGCATGCTATATGGCTGGTATTCATAGTCGAATCTTATATTTAAGACCGTCTTAAGTACGATCTTAAAATGTCATTAACCAATCACAGAGCCGTATTAGCATATTAAGACATTACTTATTAAGACGGTCTTAAAATAAGAACCGACTATGAATACCGGCCAATAGGCCGCAAGACATGTTCAGTGTTGCTACATGGCGTCGGTATGACAGGAATCATAACCTAATTTCTGTCAACTTAACGTTTAATATCTCGCGTCGCGGGACAGAGCTTTTTTTGCCAGATTCTTTCGTTTCGTGCAAAAAAGCGTCGATTGAGCATAATTTCATCGAGATTTGAGGTGAGGCCCCTAAACTGTATATTAATTACCAGAATCACTTACTTTGAGATTCGGAGACACAATAATATTAAAAATATTACACATTTTCGACGCGCAAAAACTTTTAGTCTCCGAAAACACATTTGCCTCGATAAGAATCATAACATGGCACATAACCTCACTAAATTCTGTTGGTCACGTGGGCACCATAAGCCGCGTTTACAGTATTAATGACGAGTTCACACAACATACAGATTTCAAGATAATTAAAATGACGACTCCGCCCCGGTGACGGCGTCTCCCCTTTGTGTGAAAAAAATTTAGATTGTAACACAATCTAAATTTTCTTTACACATACGTGATAAATTTATAGGGTCAAATTAATTTTTAACCATTCCTATAGGTCGCCACTGCTCCTATTCAATATGTCATTAATTTAACTAAAACAATGTTAATTTGACTAAATTAATGGAGTTAAAATAATACTATTTTGTTTTAAAATAATAAATTTTATGGTAGTTAAAAATGATAGTTAAAAATAACAAAATGTTATCTATCTCAAGGTATTGGTTTAAATTTCATTCTTTAATATTTAACAGAGTAGTCACGTTCTCCGCTACATCTTTCCTAAATCCATTTTAAAGGCAAAACGTTCCTTATAAAGTATGTCGTGTGCAGTCTAATTTAATGTTAACCTTTTATTTTTGTCAGCTCTTGGCTCTATTATCGCAATATGCTGACGCGAGGAAGTCCCACTACTTAGGGCCCATTTTAACATCCTTGCAACGCCTCGAGAGCATGCTTGTAAAGCAAGCCGAACGAAATGCGTTGAACTGTATTGTGCCGGCCGAGAAGCTATTCAGCCTGTTTTCAGAACATCAGCCATCTAGTAACGAAAGCAATGAGGTATTAATGGAATAAAAAAACATGACAAATAATACAAATATTAGATCTCATTTTTACAGCAAATAGAATATGATTTCTTTTCTCATGATATAATTTAAAAATAATTAGTTTGTAGGTTCGCATAATATAAATAATTTCATAAAGGAACTAGCGAACAAAACGACGAATATACATATATATTCCAATTTAAAACTGCAAGCCGATAAATGTCGGACTGAAACACAGTTATCGTTGGAACATTAAAAACCCTTCCCTTTCTAGAATTAAATCGACTCGATTTAATTATCTAAAAACTGTAAAGAAATTATTGCGAAAAATATTCTGGCTGGGGTAATATTTTTTGCAATAATTTCTTTACAGTTTTCAGATAATTAGAAGAGGATTAAATCGCGTCGATTTAATTCCGGGGATGGAAGGGTTTTTAATGTTCCGGCGATAACTGTGTTTTAGTCCGACATTTATCGGCTCGCAATTTTAAATTGAAATATATATGTATATTCGTCGCTTGTAATATATAATTATAAGCACTAAGAACGAGCTTTGTTCGCTACCCCCTTTATGAAATTATTTAAAAATAATTATTTTTATTTGTATATGTATTGACAAAATTATTCTATAACAGCAATTTTCTTATGGTGATTGGAACATGTAGTTTAAGTATTATTAATTTTCATGCAGATTTGTCGCTGTTATTCCAGTTATTTTAAAAATTAACAAATTTAAATTTTAATTGCATTGCAGACAAAATCGAATGAAGAAAATTCCGTAATTCTTCGAAGGGCATTGGATCTTTACAATGATATTCAACAATTCTCAATGCCGAAAAAGCACAAGCATGGAAGAAGGAAGAGCAAGAATCACAACGAGAACGGAAACGCTAATGTTAATGAGAACGTAAACTCAAACATTAACACCAATACCAATCGGCATCATAGACGTTCCTTCGATGTCGATCCGCCTCTATCCAAAGCACACAATCAAAATGTGAATAGTAACTTTAACTTTAATAGCAACTCAAACAAAAACAGAGAAGATTTATTTGATTTTAGCGACGAAGATGATGAAGTTTAAACGTTTGACAAGCTTCCCGGAACAAGATCGGGAACCATGTGTAAAGATTTTTGCTTCACAAAATAAGATCGGAAAGCATGTATAAAAATTGCTGCGCCTGATTGTAATTTCTCTAAAACATTTTACAATTACAATAATAAAATAATAGGAGCAAACACTTGTACAAAATTCTTATTTCCAAACTGAGTTGTACTAAAATTACATTACAATTATTTTATACATATATATACAGGGTGTCCTATTTAAAAAAACGCACCTCGATAATTCTTCAACGAAGCATTTTCAGCAAAAATGATTCTGACAAAAGTTGTACGGTTTCGAGGGACACATAAGATGGTGTCATTAGTTTGACCTTGGATAGGCGTTTGAAGATCACGTGAAGGTTACCCTTAATTTTTTAAATGGAAACTCCTATTTTTCAATACATATTCTTGTAGCTAATCTCAAGAGCTTTTTAAGGTTGTATGACCCCTTAGAAGAAAAAATGGCAAATTCTTCAAACTTTGTCAGGTGATGAGTATTATAATAATAAAGCATTGTGCCAAGTTTGAACAAGTTTGCGAGGCCCGTTTAAAAGTTATAACAATTTGAATTTAACATGGGCTCTTATGGGAATTCATCAAGTTTCACTGTTTTTTCAACTTCATTTGAGAAATTAATATCGAAGAAAATATGGCATCCTTTTAAAACTTTGCAGAAATATTAATAAACATCTTACAAACAAATTAGAACCAAAAAAGTTATGACTTCGAGGATATTTTCTGAAATATTGAATAAAAATCAAACAGAGAACAGTCTCGCTTGGTCTCGCTGAACTTGTAAGTACAGAGATCCGGCAACAGCGCACTATGACGTCACATTAGAACCTCTCTCTCCGTCACTCTTCGTAAAGGATAACAAATACTACAGAGGTCCGTTACTTTTTCCAATAGAGCCTCCTGTATCGAAAGTGTGCTCTGAGCACGTGTAATATACAGACGCATCGTTTGAGGTTAGTTTTCGCTTGCGCTACGAAAATGCCGAAAGTAAAACGTTACATGTGGAAAGAAAAAATTGTCACTGAAAAAGTGTACAATCAACGGTTAGCACAGACAAATACTGGGAAACGTAATTTGAAGACACGAGTCGAAACCACACCAGATGATTGTAACAATTCCATGGCACATGTAACGTTTTACTTTTGGCATTTTCGTAGCGCAAAC